CTGTTGTACTTCGTTCAGTTACGTGTGCTGAGACATACCATGTTGCTGCAGGCTTGACAGAAGTGTCATATGTCATTCCTGACTCCATTTAATCTATGGAGACATGTCTGCTTGGGTTGCGCATTAGGCTTACCGCAACCAACTCCAAAGTTTGTTTACCGAGATAAGACGCCCGGCGAAATTAACTGGGACATGTGTTTTTCAATTGTGTATGGGGCAGCCTTTAGGGGTGGGCAGTGGCTAGTGTTGTTGTTCATCGTTCATTTTTGAGTAGTATCCTGAGCCATGGGTTGGTTTAGACGTCGTCTCCATCCTCCTCCTCTCCTGAAAGGGGGCAGGGACCCTACCCCACAGAGTCCTCCACCTTCCTCCCGTCCTGTGAACCGTCGTCGACACAGAGACTAAGCGTCATTAACCTGGGTTGTTATCCTGTGGAAATATCACGTGTGGATGCCTGGTTGCGACAAGTAGGCTGGCCTATCAAACCTAAGTAAATGGTTAGACAATTCAACACAGAGTTCTCCTGCACGACACCCGTCTACCGTGACCGTGATCGACACGAGAGAGACTAAATTAATAGCCGCTTGGGTTTGTTATCTGATGGAAATATCACGTGTGGAAACCTGGTTGCGTAAAAAGCAATCCAGGCTGGTCTGTGCACCTAATGGTTAATCCAGGTCAAAACACAGTTCTACTTGCGACAACCGTCAGTGACTGTCAGTGGCTATGGCGAGACTATGTGTGTGCTTAAAAGAACCTTTGGCCTTTATGGCCGTAGAAGAAGTTCTTGGCAGTGAAGCCTGGTTGCAGCAAAAGCAATCCAGGCTGACGTCATCTTAATCACTTGAAGAATTAAGGCTCTGTTAGAATCATACCACGTGGGAAGTAATCATGTGTGTCTACCAAGTTGGAAATTCCCTGTTTAGGAATTAAATTTTATTACAGCGTGAACGATGAGTGAACCATATATCCATACAAATTGTAAATCATTGTATGGAAGTTTGACAAATAAATCTTAAGTGCAATTATCTGCCGTATCTGTGATCCTATCTTATTATTACTGAAGGTAATGACTGATTAGTTATATATAAACCAATATAACTTAGATGGATGTTGAAAATTAAATGAATTCATTAAATCATCATTTTATCAAGTATAAATCATGGAATGCTCATCAGGTATTGATGAACTTCTACGTAGATGCATATAATCTCCTGTAAGTAACCAGTGTGAGTATCGAACTCTGATGAAATAAGAAATACGACATAATATTATCTTTATAATATAATCCGCTCTACTCTCTTCCCACGGATTCTGCAAAAAAACCGCGACAGGCAATACACCGCCATCAGTACATACTGGACATAACTTGATGGAGTGGGCATATCAGGTGGCATCATCTTCCACAGTACATCAGCCAATGCAGGAATTTGTTGCAGAACTCTTGGAGTTATCCTGTTCTCAAGAGGTCGGGTGGATAACTGCGAGTTCAAATTCAAAGTGCTTCAGCTGGGTGTCATTTGTGAGGCCTACAGTAACATGTCTTT